TTGCTTTTGCAATTAGATTCTTTTCTTTCTATTTCTATTTTATTTCATTCCTATTCTCCTTTCTCAGAAAAAGGGCCTTTAACCAAAGTAAAAGATTACTTCGTTCTTGATAGTTATTTACTTACTCAGTGGATAGGAACATACTCTGAATCAGAATATTAAGGAGTAGATTTGAGTTTGTTTTATACCATATAACTTGCATCATTTGGAACTTTTGAAATATCTTGATGGTATTCTCATTTTACACTGCTCCAAGAATTATTCCTATACTGTAGTTTGGAACTAGTGGATTAATCACCATTGCAATGCTTATCGGGGGATAAAAAGGTCATTGTTCATTTTTATTATGCAGGTGGGCACTTTATCCTCCTGGGAGAGTACCTTTAGGAGTGACAGTTCATGTAAATGAAGAAGATGGTGATGTCAGTATTGACACTCCATCATCTTTGCAGGTATTAATTATTTTTTAGATGCAAATAATTTGCTTCCACTTTGCCTAATGTTGTGATGGTTTTTTATTTGTTTGAGCCATGTTATGTGATTTTTCTCTCCTGTCCATCCAGTGGTGGCTGGACTTCTACCCTCTTCTCGCTGAGGAGGACAAGCCGATAGAATGTACTCAACTGCCTGGGGAAACAATATTTGTCCCTAGCGGATGGTGGCATTGCGTGCTAAATTTGGAGACTACTGTTGCTGTGACACAGAATTTTGTGAACACCAAGAACTTTGAATTTGTGTGTCTGGATATGGCTCCTGGTTATAGGCATAAAGGAGTTTGCCGTGCTGGGCTTCTTGCTTTGGATGATATCAGTATTGAGGATGTCAGAAAAAATGTGTTGTCCTTGGACAACAGTTTGAGCTGCTCTGACCTGTCAAGGAAAGAGAAGAGGATTAGAGTTGACCAACCTGCTAAAGGTTCAGAAAATGGAAGTACTATAGATGGNCAATATTACTATTCTAAGTATACTAGAAGCTTTCGTGGAAAAAGTCAATTGTGGCTAGGGAATAGAAAATTATCTTTATATGTCTCTCCGCTTGTTATTTGTATTGGACCATGAAATAAGATACTAATTTGAAGAGTTTATATATGCCTAAGTTGCTGCATAGCAGGAACCTTGACCTTTTTCAGCTGCACAGCTGATCTCACATAGTCGCATGTTATGTATATTGTATACTGTGCACAATGAGGTGTTAGATTAATAATTGTCATCTGTCAGGGTGACTTTTATGTAATTTAAGCTTCTGTTATCACTTCTGACTACCTTAGAATTACTTTTGCTAGGGAGCCTGTCTGGCGCTGAATGCTGATAGATGGTACACATATGTGGCAGAAATTTGTACCTCCCATGGGTTGCCGTTGCCAACTGATGATGAGAGGCTTCCTGTTGGAACAGGCAGCAATCCAGTAAGTTTTTGTGCTTAGCAGATCTTCGACTGTTATGCTTATTCCTTAGTGTCACTTTTTTCTCTAGACTGAAGTTGAAGGGAACATTTAGTTATTCTTGGAGCCTGACATTTAACATTTGTGATGTTAGAATAGTTATGTAAATTGTAAATAACCCTAATCCCATATGTATTAGGAGTAGGACATGTATTATATATATCATAGTTAACATATATGAATAATATCATATTTTTCTCCCGTGCATTCTCACATGGTATTAGAGCTTTGGTGAGAAGAGATCGTTGTGCGTCATTCCAGCGACATCCGGGAAGAAAGAACTTAATCACCGTGCGGTTTTCCGGTGACCTAAGTGACTATTTGCGTCAAAGTCACTAATTATCAGTGTTGTGCGAAATCCAACAACACCAAAAGGTTCCTAAGAGATAGGCGACCAAACCCAGAAAGTCACCTGAAAAAGGCCATCCACGCGCCTGCCGGAAATCTACCGCCGCCGGCGCGTCTGTCCCACGCGCCGGCGTGTGGGGGCTGTTTCGGCCAGAATTTGGAAACGTTTCTTTTGGATAGTGTCATCTCCTTGCAATTCCAAGTCTACCCATCCAATTTAAACCAAATTCCGACCACTTTTATATTTTTCCGGCGCGTGCGTGTTTCTCCGGCCATTTTTTGGCCAAGCTTCTTGAGGGCAGCCTAGTCGCACATAAATTACGAGTCCATTGGTACTATTTCCGACAGATTCCGACAACTTTGGAATTTTCCGACGAGCTACAGTGATTTTCCGGCGAGCTACCGTGATTTCCCGTCGTGAACAGTGATCCCCAGAAAATTTCTACTTTTTCCAGCACAATATTATAATGGCATTCATATAAGAAGTCTTTAACTCACAATCCGTTGGATCCAATGCATTGAATCCAATCCAGATGGTTTCTTTACCGGAGTATATTGAGTTCCTTCACTACAAAGCATGTAAACAGACATCTTCAGGGATAGCTTCCGTTGTTCAAACAGATAATAGCGTGACTTGTGTCTCCCAATCTTCAACCTATGAGTCTTGGGTCATTGATTCAGGAACATCTGATCATATTTCCGGTAACTAATCTCTTTTCACTAGTATTTCATATTCTCAATCTCTTCCGGCAGTCACAATGGCTAATGGGTCTCAAACCATGGCAACTGCAATAGGTCAAGCAAGCCCTCTTCCTTCCTTACCTTTAGATTCAGTGCTTTATGTTCCCAATAGTCCTTTTAATCTCATAGCCGTTAGTCGCTTAGCCAAATCACTTAAATGCGCTGTTTTATTTCTTGATGACCTTGTTTTATATAGGAACGCAGTACGGAGCGGATCATTGGTACCGGACGTGAATCAGATGGACTTTATTACCTTATCCTTGCAAAATCACATGGACTCGCATCTTGTCTTCCTTCAATAACTTGTCTTGTTATCGATTCACCAGATTTATTACATAAACGGTTGGGACATCCCAGTTTGTCAAAACTTCAGAAAATGGTACCTGGTTTATCTCACTTGTCCACTCTAGAGTGTGAGTCATGTCAGCTCGGTAAGCATACCCGCTCTCATTTCCCTCTGCATCCTGATAATAGAGCAGAGTCATCTTTTACTTTAGTCCATTCAGATGTTTGGGGTCCTAGTCGAGTCAGTTCTACCTTGGGATTCCGCTACTTTGTTAGTTTCATTGATGATTATTCCAGGTGCACTTGGATATTTTTGATGAAAAATCGGTCTGAGTTGTTTTCTATTTTTCAGACCTTACACACTGAAATTCAAAATCAATTTGGGGTTTATATCCACACATTTCGTAGTGATAATGTCCTAGAGTATTTGGCTTCCCCATTTCAGCAGTTTATGAACTCTCATGGGATCATTCATCAAACATCTTGTCCGCACATCTCAACAAAATGGGGTAGCTGAAAGAAAGAATAGACATCTTATTTAAACTGCTCGTACCCTACTCATACAATCTCATACTCCGTTGCGTTTTTGGGGGGATGTAGTTCTTACATCTTGCTATCTTATTAATCGTATGCCATCTTCAGCTATCCAGAATCAAGTTCCATTTTCTGTCCTGTTTCCCCACTTACCTTTGTTCTCTCTTCCACCCCATGTCTTTGGAAGCACGTGTTTTGTTCATAACCTTACTCCAGGAAAAGATAAGTTAGCTCCTCGTGCTCTTAAGTGTATATTTCTGGGTTACTCAAGAAAGCAAAAGGGGTATCGATGCTATTCTCCTGACCTCCAGCGGTATCTTATGTCTGCTGATGTTCCTTATTTGAAACCCAATCATACTTCATAGATCCAGGTAATCACTTAGATATTTCTGAGGTGCTACCAGTTTCATCTTTTGAAGATTCAGTCACTACCTCCCATTCATCTTCCTTTACAACTCTAGCTCCACCACCTACTGCTCCAGTTGCAGCTCCACCACCTACTGCTCTAGTTGCAGCTCCACCACCTATAGCTCCAGTTCCACCACCTAGTGCAGTTCAACCTTCTGCAGCTCCACCACTCTTGACTTATCATTGTCGTCAACGTTCAACATTAGGCCCAGGTGATTCACGTCCTGCATCAAATTCTGCACCTATTGCGGACTTGTGTCCTCTTAGTCAACCAATTGCACTCCGCAAAGGTGTATGATCCACTCTTAATCCTAATCCTCATTATGTCGGTTTAAGTTATCATGTCTGTCATCACCTTATTATGCTTTTATATCATCTTTGTCCACTGTTTCTATCTCGAAGTCTACAGGTGAGACACTATCTCATCCAGGATGGCGACAGGCTATGATTGAGGAGATGTTTGCTTTACATGCGAGTGACACTTGGGAGCTTGTTACTCTTCCTTCAGGTAAGTCTACTGTTGGTTGTCATTGGGTTTATGCAGTCAAAGTCGGCCCCGGATGGCTAGGTTGATCGTCTTAAGGCTCGTCTTGTTGCAAAAGGATACACTCAGATTTTTGGGCTTGATTATAGTGGCACTTTCTCTCCCATGGCTAAGATAGCATCAGTCCGCCTTTTTCTATCCATGGATGTTGTTCGCCATTGGCCTCTCTATCAGCTGGACATTAAGAATGCTTTTTTACACGGTGACCTTGAGGATGAAGTTTATATGGAGCAACCACCTGAGTTTGTTGCTCAGGGGGAGTCTCGTGGCCTTGTATGTCGCTTGCGCCGGCCACTTTATGGTCTAAAGCGAGCCTCGAGCCTGGTTTGGTAAGTTCAGCACAGTTATCCAGGAGTTTGGCATGACTCGGAGTGAAGCTGATCACTCTGTATTTTATCGGCATTCTGCTTCGAGTCTCTGTATCTATCTGGTGGTCTATGTTGACGACATTGTTATTACCGGCAATGATCAGGATGGTATTACTAAATTGAAGCAACATCTCTTTCAACACTTTCAGACTAAGGATCTGGGCAAACTAAAGTATCTTCTGGGTATTGAGGTCGCTCAGTCTAGCTCAGCTATTGTGATCTCACAACGGAAGTATGCCTTAGATATTCTTGAGGAGACAGGAATGACAGGTTATAGACCTGTTGACACTCTGATGGATCCGAATTCTAAACTTCTGCCAGGACAGGGGGAGCCTCTTAGTGATCCTGCAAGATATAGGCGGTTGGTTGGTAAATTAAATTACCTTACAGTGACAAGACCTGACATTTCCTTTCCTATGAGTGTTGTGAGTCAGTTTATGGATTCTACGTGTGATAGTCATTGGGATGCAGTTGTCCGCATTCTTCGGTATATAAAATCAGCTCCGGGCAAAGGTTTATTGTTTGAGGATCGAAGCCATGAGCAGATCATTGGATATTCAGATGTTGATTGGGCAGGATCACCTTCTGATAGACGTTCTATGTCTGGATATTGTATCTTAGTAGGAGGAAATTTGGTGTCTTGGAAGAGCAAGAAACAGAATGTGGTTGCTCGCGGTCTAGTGCGGAAGCAGAACATCGAGCAATGGCTATGGCGTTGTGAGTCAGTTTATGGATTCTTTGTGTGATAGTCATTGGGGTGCAGTTGTCCGCATTTTCGGTATATAAAATCAGCTCCAGGCAAAGGTTTATTGTTTGAGGATCGAGGCTATGAGCAGATCATTGGATACACAGATGCTGATTGGGCAGGATCCCCTTCTGGTAGACGTTCTACGTATGGATATTGTGTCTTAGTAGGAGGAAATTTGGTGTCTTGGAAGAGCAAGAAACAGAATGTGGTTGCTCGGTCTAGTGCGAAAGCAGAATATCGAGCAATAGCTATGGCGACATGTGAGCTAATTTGGATCAAACAGTTGCTCAAGGAGTTAAAATTTGGTGAGATTAGTTAGATGGGACTTGTGTGTGATAATCAAGCTGCTCTTCATATTGCGTCAAATCCAGTGTTCCATGAGAGAGCTAAACACATTGAGAATGACTGTCACTTTGTCAGAGAAAAGATACTCTCGGGAGATATTGCTACAAAGTTTGTGAAATCGAGTGATCAGCTTGCAGATATTTTCACCAAGTCCCTCACTGGTCCTCGTATTAACTACATATGTAACAAGCTCGGTACATATGATTTATATGCACCAGCTTGAGGGGGAGTGTTAGAATAGTTATGTAAATAGTAGTAAATAACCCTAATCCCATATGTATTAGGAGTTGGTCATGTATTTTAAATATATATAAAATACATGTCCTACTCCTAATACATATGGGATTAGGGTTTATATGTATATATATATATATATATATACATATGTGAATAATATCATATTTTTCTCCCGTGCATTCTCACATGTGATAATGTTGAGGGTTTAAAACATCAATACTCAAGTAGGCTGTTCTCATCTCAATGAGTTAATGCTGAAGTTGAGATGTCTTACAAAAGAGTGTAAGATCAATTATTCTTACAAAGATGTAGTATCATCATTAACCTAGCAAGTCGTAATACTTGTGTACAGGTTTATCTAGCTGGGGACAATGTTATAAAAATATTTGTTGAAGAGGGATTAGAAGCTTGCCTTCATTCTTTGGGCACCGAGGTAGATCTGTTGTTCTGGCAGTTTTTTTTTTCCTTCTATTTCTTTGTACTATTATTGATTCAGTTATGGTTTGATCTTTTGCAGCTTGAGTTTTACAGTCTACTCCAGAAAATAAACTCCCCTCTGAAGAATCACATTCCTAATGTTTTGGCCAGTGGGATTCTTTATATTGAAAATGGATTGTATAAAGTTCAGCATTGGGATTGCAAAGGAGTTCCGGAGGTGGTTGCTAACATTACTCCCCTTGTGGAACTTGAGCAAGTTGATTATCCATTTGGTCTTTGGAGTAAAAGGCAGTTTGATTTTAAAAAAGCTGGGATGTCATTACCCGAACTAGTAAGCGCTGGCAGCGGCTCAACAATATGGCCATATGTCATAACACAGAGATGCAAAGGAAAAATATATGCTCAAATGTTAGTGAGATCCATTTATATTTTAATAGATGTCTATAATTGACTGTATCATTCATTTGAAGTACTTTCAGTTGTTATTTTGAAGCACTGCTCCTCCTTTTCATTTGCATTGCTCTTGCTAGCAGAAGAGATTCCATCTCATGGGAAGATACTGTAAATTTGGCCTCCTTCCTGGGAGAACAAATGCGCAACCTTCATCTTGTGCCATGCCCAGCTTTGAATGATTCAATATATTCGGAAGCCCAGCAGAAAGTACTCCTCAATGCTAATGGGTATCTGGAGGATGATGAGGGCAAGATTTGTGCTCTTGGAGAGTGGAATTTGTTCCTGAGAACTCTGAACAGGAGAAAGAAGGATGTTTGTAACCGCTTGACCAAATGGTAAGCCTTTAATACCGAATACTTTGTTGATCATAAAGCAGCTTTAAAGTCTCATATTATGTAGTGAAGCTTCTCTTATTACCTTGCTTCTACTCACCTGGTTTTGTGACTTTGACTATATTTGACACCATGATCTTCGTTTATTCTCCTAGATACAAACGCCATAGATAATAAAACTGTGGGTCTAATTCCTCTCTATTATCTTATAGAATTCTTGGGTTGGTTAGTGTTGCATTAATGTAACAACTATGTCAGGGGTAATACGAATGTTTTCTTTTTTGATTCTGAATTGTCTCTTCATTTGGTGTCAGATCAGCGATACGTGTTATTCTATTAAACTAAAGCCTTTCTTTGGACTATTGCCTACCACGACTTACCACTAGTTTCTTCAAAATGGTACTTGGGCCCCTCTTCTATTCCAAATAATGCTACAAATCTCTGAAGTCAAATTTTCTCTATTATTTGACTAATTTTGATTTAAATATAATAAAGTTCAACTCTACTTTTAATAAGAGACACATATATAAAATGCATTTCAACTTTTAGTTTAATAGTTGTGAATTTCATTTATAAAGAAATGTAGTTTTGAAATTTCATGAGACACCTACATTGGGGAAAAAAGATACTCTTATAAAGTTATTTCTTCAATTGAAAAGTTAAAGTCCGTGATGACTTCTTTACTACTTATATATTGCATAATTAATATGATAGAGGAGGCATGTTATCCTAGCTTAACTCTCTTGTTCACCACATGAAAGACAATTATGTTCAGTTATTATATTTAGGCAAGGACTTCTTGTTAACCTCTGTGTTTTGCGTTTTGTGGTGCTTGTTTTCTACTGGATTAATGTTTTAACTTTTTTGTTCACTTCATAAAAGGTAATGTACGTCAGTTATTTGTGCCTTATTTGAAAAAAATCTATTCCGACAGATTTGCGTGTTAATATATGTATGTGTTAACTCTTCATCAAAAAATAATCTCTGTATGTTGGCTATTATGATGACTGCTTTCTACTCTATTACTCTTTTGCAGTGTGACACCTATATGTGACCTTTTCCCTGGACATTTAGATATGCTGGCACAAGCACTGTGAATTTGAGCTTCTAATGCAGAAGTTGGATCTGAGTCTTTTGTTGTTTCAATCTGTAGGGGTGATCCGATTCCTGGAGAACTGATTGAGAAAGTTGAGGAATACATCCCTGATGACCTTGGAAAGGTTCTTATATTTAATAATGAAGTGATTCATTGGACTTCCTTCAGTCTGCTAGACATTTTATTGTTTCTTTTGTCCCTTTTTCCTTCCTCTGAAGAAAATGCATTTCTCTGACTTCTTGTTTATTGTCTCTTTTTTAAGGTTGACATGGGATCCAGATCTTGTACCTGGATACACTCTGATGTAATGGATGACAATATCCACATGGAACCATGTTCCGTTGCTTCTCGCTCTGCAGGGACTATTGATGATCCTGAGTTGATTGACAATGTTTATGCTAATGGATCTGATTTGGGTGAGCCTAGACATGCATGGCGTCCTACTCATATACTTGATTTCAGTGATCTTTCAGTTGGTGAGTTATTAAGCAACTTTGACCTTGCTTTTTCGGGCTTGGTCTGCTGATAGTTTCATATTTCTTTTCCCGATGAATGAACCATGTTCTTATTTGGACTCTACTAGGCTTCTGCTGCTTGGCCCTAGATTATGTATAATTTGGAGAAGTTACGGTATGTCTAAGATAGTAACTTTTTAATGACTGCTTGTTCAAATGAATCTGGTAAAGTTTATGAGCGTATTGGATGAATATCAATGATTATAATAGCAGAAAAAGAGAAAAATAAGAAAAGAAAAAGGGAAATAGATATGGAACTGATTTGGAATTTGGCACCAGCTTCAGAGGCAGGCTTTGCCAAGTTAAAAGAAAACAATTTTTTTTTTATTTAAGAAAAAGACGACGACGACGACGAAGAATAATTCTACCCTCCTTACAATTTGCAGATTCTACTTAAAAGAAGAAAAGCTTTAGAGTCAGAGTAATTCTAAGACAGTTAGATTCTACCCTCCTTACAATTTGCAGATTAGGTTTACTTATTCTAACATGTGAGCTAATCAATGAGGTCCATTTTAGAAAAAGGCTTTACCTTTTTTAAGTGGTTTCGCATACTTTTGACAAGAGAAGCTTTTTGGTGGATATTAATTGGCTCAGAGAGTCTTGCAATTATACCTGCCATTACTTAAATTTAACTAGATCAGTCTAAAATTAGCACTGTAAATCTTGTATCACTAAAAACTTAAGATGTGGAAGGTTATAAAATATTCATTGAGTTGATTTTAGTTTTAAACATTTGAGTTTCTGTGATCAGTAACCCAGTTCTTTTCTCAGGGGACCCAATTTCTGACTTAATCCCGATATACCTGGATGTCTTTAGAGGAGATCCACATTTACTGAAGCAGTTTTTGGATAGCTATAAACTTCCATTTGTTAAAAGAGGACTTAATGCATCAGCCGAAAGCAACAGATTTCAGAGACTTTCTTACCGAGCCATGTGAGTACATATAGTCTGATGTTGTCATATTTCTTCTGTGTTGTCCTCGTGTGTTTTTCTATGAGATAATTGGAGGCGTTTTGTTCTTCAAAGTGAAATTTCACTAATAGAGCTTATATAATACCCGACCTTATGAAGATAGTAGTAATGCGTGCTTCGATTATGTGGCAACCGACATATATTTGGACCAATGTTGACGTGTGGACTCAGGCCTTAGAATCCATGACCCTCGTCCTTCACCATATTGAGGCATCATTTGTCATTTTTAGAATTGTTGATTTCCACTGATTGATACTCTCATCAATCAGATACCTCAATCACTTAAGGAGTTGCTGAATACAGTAGGAGTTTGAACTTGAGATTGTTAAGTTGAGCAGGTTTTAGTAGATAACTGGAACTAGAGACATTGTTCTATGTGATAGCCAACATGAGCACTGTAGATGAAGATAGAGTAGATTGGAGCCTCATACTCCTTTTGCCATGAAATATGCTGGAAACTCACCTTAAGTGACTTCCGTTGATACAGGTGCTACTGTATTTTGCATGATGAAAATGTTCTGGGAGTTATCTTCGGTACTTGGAAGGAACTAAGGAAGGCAAAATCATGGGAAGAAGTAGAGGAAGCTGTATGGGGAGATCTCAACAGTTATACAGGCTCCTGTTGAACTTTCTTTTTGTTCTTTTTAATTTAGTCTATCACGCCCCTGGTAAAATTTCTATTGCTGTATGTTGAATAAGTCCCAGTCGCTTGTACACACATTTGTTTGAATTTATTTGTTGATTTTATTCATCTTAACTTCTGATCATATCGTTAACATTTTAATAAAATTTATCATGTACGATAAAACTTGAAACAGTTATTGTGTTGTCAGTACTCCAGTGGAAAACCCATCTATTTTCGTTGTTTCCTGATTTTAGTAATTTTACCGCTTTCCTTTAAGCTAAAGCCACAGAGATCATGTCTTACCTGAGTTTGTTCTGATGTTCTTCTATACGTTTGGCATGCATATAATTGAACATTGTCGTCCTCTGAAGATAACCTGTATATATGCCGATTTACAAATTCAACATACTATTAGACAGATATTGAGTTCACGTCTTATGCTACCTACAAACGGAATATTGTTGAAAAATCGTTGTATGGGACAAATTTAGTACGACAACAATGTTGTCTTCGCATATTCAATGGACACAATGCTATTTATATAGGTCAGAGATTTCGCCACTAAAACTCTACATTGCCAAAAAAAAAACAAATTAAAACATCTAATTCCAAATTCAGACAATTCACAGTTCGAGGCGCCTTGTGAGCTTCTAAAAACTAGAAAATAAATATGACCTTCTAACAGTTGAGTTAGATTAAAATATAATGCAAATTTAGAGAAAATTGTTGAACGTTGTTGCCAACACCAATTTATAGTACATACCTTTAACACTTGAGTTAGATCAGGTTAACTTTCATGTTAATATAATGCAAATTTAGAGAAAATTGTTGAAATCTTGCTAATACCAATTTATAGTACTATTATTTTCGTTTTAGAGATTGCTTTACTCCATATATCTCAGTTCCAGAAGTCACTGTTTCTGAAACCTTCTCTTTTTGCTCTTCTACGACATATTAGTCGTTACTGCTTATGTTATTTTCATTTACAGCTTTTCTACCTTCTCAAGGTGGGATAAAGTCTGCGCACACACTACCCACCCCAGACCCACTTGTGAGATTATACTGGATTTGTTGTTGTAATTCTTATCCAGTGTCGAGGAAAAGAAAGGGCAGTCTGGTGCACGAAACATCCCGCGTTCACGCAGGGTCCGGAAAAGGGCCGCGCGGCACTTCAAGGGGTGTGAGAACTACCTAAAATTCCACAAGGCCATGGTTTCAAAAAGTAGTAAACACTCTTTACCAAGTCAAAAATACAAACTATCAGCAAATTATAGGGTGAACTCTGAGAGTCGATTCTGGAAAATACAGCACATTACACATTCACCCTTTTGGTAATTATATTATTGTGTACTTACATCACAATTGACCAACAAAATCACCACTATTTTCAATTATATCGTCAATATCAGCTTCATCTAATTCATCGAGTTCCATACTGCCCCAAAAAGAATTTGTTCCACCCTTTGATACCTGCAAAGGAACTCTAGCCTCTTGTATTATTGCCAAAACTTCTTCCATACTTTGGGAGGGGTTATTTACATCGACGCACTGGTAACTTCCTCCTTCCATCAGTTCCACTGGCAAGTTCTTCAAAAACCAGGGATGCTTTGTAATTTCCGGAATGGTTATTCTCTACAAAAAGAATCAGCAAATCACCATCAATATTGTATTATGCTTTAGGCACATCCGCAATACTGAGGTGCACTATGTATTCTTACTAATCATGAAACGCGAATGCAATTTTATGGAAGGAAGAATAAGGGAGGGCCTTTGGTGGGATTGAACCTTTTGTCTAAGTAGAATATATTGAGACAATGAGGTAATTTCTGGACATAATACATGAACTCTTCCATGATCCACATCTTTGTTAGAGGACTTGATGATTTATTACCTTTTCAGGGTCTGCCACAAAAATCCTGGATAAGAGATGGCGGCATTCGTGGGAAATTTGGATTTGTTCGGGAATTGAGTAGCGGACACTGAGTATTTGCTGCACGGAAACTAGCCAATCATAATGCTGCAGTAAATTGCTCAATGCTGGACACTTGCATTAATAGAATGATCCATTTAATGGAGTAAATTAAGGGCGGTGCACTAAGCTCTCGCTCGGGGTCCGGGAAAGGGTCGGACCACAAGGGTCTATTTTACGCGGTCTTACCCTGCATTTCTGCAAGAGACCGTTTCCACGGCTCGAACTCATGACCTCCTGGTCACATTACAACAACTTTACGAGTTACACCAAGGCTGCCCTTCATTTAATGCAGTAATTTGATAAACAAAATTCGGGGTAATCCACTAGAAATCTAATTATGTTGCCATCACTTACAGCAATAGTCTTTGTAATGTTTTTTGGATCACTTGAATCTTGAAATGGATAAGCTCCAACTAACATTACATATAAGGTGACTCCACATGACCAAACATCTGCAAGCTATGGTTCCAAGAATTAAAAGGAGAGAAATGAGTATACACGAGAAACGTTAAGGAAAATTTCTGCAAGGAAAAAAGAAAGAAGTAGCACCTTCCCATCATATTCTTTCTTTGTTAGGATCTCTGGTGCTACATATGCAGGCGTCCCTACAGTGGACTTAGGTTGAGAATGAAAGACAGTTGACTGCAACAAGTTTAGCAGTTAAGGAATATGAGCTTAAACCTTGAATAGCAGCAAGAATTAAGACTTGAGAAAAGATCAGTAACCTTGGAGTACCCAAAATCACATATTTTGACCCGTGGTGCAGCACTTCCGTCGAGTAAAGTGTTTTCCAATTTGAGATCTCTATGACAAATTTGCTGCAATAAAATACCAGAAACATATACTAAATGACAAGGAGGACTGAATTAATGAAGTTCACAGCATGAGAATATTTGATGCTGTACCATGAAATGGCAGTAGCTAACCCCTGATATCAATTGTTGAAAGAAGAACCTTGCCTGAGTAAAAAGTAAACATAAGCAAAAACTCAGCTGATACTAAATTAGAAAAGAGCCTGCTCAGAAATACTGCAGTGAGCATTGTAATAGGAAATTAGTACTTTAACTTTGACATTTTGCATAAACACATGACAATAATGAACTTATAACATAGCAAGTGACACTTCCTAAAGCACATTACTTCGTGGTGTCAACTTATAAGATGGCATTCTTGGAAGCATCCACGGGTGTGGCCTAGTGGTCAATAAAGTGGGTTGAGAACCATGAAGTCTCAGGTTCTGATCCCAGCGAAGGCAAAAATACTAGGTAATTTCTTCCCATACAGATACTAGTCGAGGCGGGATTAGTCGGGGTGCCTGCAAGCTAGCCCGGACACCACAGTTATAAAAGAAGAAGAAAAAAGAACGCATTCTTGGAAGTTAAAAATCTACTTTCGCTACCCATTAACGGACCCATGATTTGAGGCCTTTTAATGTTCTGCCTCTAACAATGTAAAAAGCATATTACCAGCGGACCACCCCACATCAAAGGACCATATGAATGCCATATATAGTAGACCACTACAGTACCATGAACTTATTACAATGGAGATAAAATTTGTTAGCGGAAACGTAAAAGAAAGAACACAAGATTTAACGTGGTTCGAATCAAAATAATCCTACGTCCACCAGAGAACAGTTGCCTTTATAATATTAACAAAGGAAGAGGAGATTTCCCAATTACACTTAAGAGAATTTCTCTCTTAACTCTCTACTCACTACAATGTATTGTATTATTTTTGGGATGGTTTCTACAAATGAAGGAGTGCATCTATTTATAGAGGTAAAGACCTTCTCTTGATGTCATTGGTGACATCAAACTACCTCATCTTGATGTCATGGGTGACATCAAAGGAGGAAGCTTCCTCCTAGCATTCACACCAACTCTTCCAATTGGCATGCCATTGTTGACTAAACATAAACCAACACTTTTAATCTCCACCTTGGTTTGCGTTTCGAGCGTGCGTGTGAACAACTCTGGCCAAAACTTCTAAGC